TCTTTTTACTAATGGGAAATGTTCGCAAAATTTAATTTTTTAAACTTGTCCAAAATTAAAAAAAAATAATAAAAATTTAATTTTTACCTCTCTCTTTGAAGTATAATTCCTCAGGGAGAATATAAAAGTATATATTTATACAAAAATCTTAATTTTTCAATAAAGAATTATCTTCTAACATTTTCTTATTTCCTGTATAATTATACTTACAACAAACAGCTGATCCGACGTGCGATTTGCTGTTGTTTGCACTCCTCTAATATTTCTTGGAGCCTGTCGAAGACAGAATTAATGTTAAATATGAGTCAAGTAACAAATCAAGCAGTAGGTCAAGTGACAGATTATTGAACTTTACAAGATAAAGAAATCGTGCTTTTAAACGTGCCAACGTTTTTATCTTTAATGCTTTTGTATTCATTTTGACTCCCATAAATTTATATAAAATTAATAGAAGTAAAAGGTTGAGAATACAAGATAAATAAATAAGGTTATGTTACTAAATAAAACATGCATATTTTACATTAAATAAATCATGATCTTTTAGTAAAAAAAAAGACAAGTAATTAATTTACATTCAAGAAGTGTTTTACAAAGTCGATATAATTGAAGATTATGTAAGGTATTTAAGGTTAGGTGTTAATGTGAAGAAATAAACTGCAGTGAGTACAACGATGAATTCCCAGAAAATAACTACTCACGAAGAGCCCGCAAGCTCGGCGTAGAGATGCCAGCATATCGATGCAGCTGAACGACAGACGAGACGATAAAATTCTTGCTGCACCTTGTCAAACAAACATCAATTGACATCAAACACTGTCAAAGTGTCGAACCATGTCCAATCATAAGCCCTCTGCACTTCCGTCAATTAAAGGGATGCTGGAACCGTCTGTATTACCGATAAAACTATTCCAAATTCGGTAGTAGTGACACCTTTCATTCACTTCTTATACTTATTATATTATAACTACTCCTCTCAGACCGATCTCTGTCATATTACCGATGATGAAAATATTATGCAATTCGTTTGAAAAAAGTTATAACAAGTTTACAATATAATTTTTTTATTCAAATTATATAACAAAGTTTATTATATATTAAAATAAAAATCCTTATAATTAAATATAAAAATAAAAATTTTTGTAATTTTAATTCTTCGTCTACAATCATATTTTTATTACTTCCGTCTGGGATTTTTTGTCCAGCCCAAATACTTTTAACGTCCTTTTTTACTGTTCTAGACTTTCAAAAAATGTAGAAAAATTTAGTGCTACTTTTTTCTATCGAATAATTTTCTGACTCAAATGTGCGTTAAAATTTTGATTTAAAAAAAGCTCCCCTTTTTATTTTGAAGAAATTTGAGAATTAAATTTCGCTTATGCCAAGAAATACACAGATTGCAAATGGAGAAAAAAATAAAAATCTTTTTTATAAAATCAAATCTATATAAATTCCTGCAGCGTTAAAACAGGTCATGTGATCAAAATTGACAAATATCAAGCATCAATTTTTATCATAAGTGCATCCAGAAGCATGAGCGTTCCCTGAGCGTTCAGTAAGCTCTTGTATCTGTTTGGTCTATATTTTTAGATCTAATGAAACATGCCAATCAGATGCAAAAACTCACTGAGTGCTCATTAAGTAAAAAAGGCATTAATCTATTATGTATTAATATGTTTATTTATTATAATTCGTAACATAGAATAACTTTGTCCACTATAGATAATCTTTAATATCATCTTTCTTACTTATTTATTACTGTTTATTATTTTTCTAATGCCATGTTTAGGCCGTAAGGTTATGTAGCGCTCATTGAGCGATGGAACGACTTAAAATTAAATAAGTAAGAAAGATGATATTAAGGATTATCTACAGTATTAATTAATCTCTTTTTTATTCAGTGATCATGAGTATTCAAGCGGTCATGAGCGGTCATTGCTTCTGGATGCACCTCATGTGACCTGCTTTGACGCTGAAAATGAGCGTCAAACATGTCAGACATGCGAAGTATGCGACACGAACAAACTTTTTATATTTTTTAAGACCTTTCCCCACTTCTCATAGTCTATCATTCACGTTGCAAATTGTTGCAAGTGAGAAGAGATGACTATGACCCTTCCTTTGGGCCGGAAAACCAAATAAAGGAATAAAAAGAAGTAAGAAGAGAAAGAGTGGGAAGTTCTGGAAAAAACCAAAACCGTGTTAAAGGAGCCTAAATTCGACGCAGAAGTGGACTAAACTGAATAATTATCAGGTACATTAAACTTTGTTTGTTGATATTTTCTGGAAATTAAAATTTGGAAATCGGTAAAGTTTTTTCTCATGAATGAGTTGCGAGAAATGCTGCAGTAGTATGAAAAATAGCTTAAACAGGATTTAACCTAACCTAGGCTCAGACTTAAAACTCTTGTTTTAAAGCCAAAAAGAGACAGAGAGAATGTTAAGCCTCGCTTAAAATCAAAGAAACGTGGTGCGAACTTAATTCAATTTGCGAGTCCAAATTAGATTAAATTCATGCAATTTTGTTTGTAATTAGTGCTACGTTTAGTAGAAAAAGTAGCTTTGCAATTGTTGTAAATTTTTTAACGTAATTAGTTTTTGCCCTTAATTTCTCACGGATCTAAATGTACAATTTGATCATATTAAAGAATCTTATAATAATTGCAAAACTACTTTTTCTGTAGAGTGCAGCCGTAAAATCAATATTTGCCTTTGTTTCCCTGCTTTGTTCGCAAAATGTTTACACTGATTTAACTTAAAAAAAAAAGGTTATCGCGGTTGACCATATCATTGTGTTATCTATCTTCTTATCTATCTTCTTATCATAAATTTTAGCTTAGAGTACATGCCTATATTATTTTATTACAGATATTTCTTGTATTGAGAGAATAGACATAGCATAAAACTTGTCAAAATGAAATACAGACATTTGCTTCAGCAACATATAACGTATTACAATAAACAATTGTATTGTTATCAATGCAAGATCACATTACAAAACCTCAAGGAAGGAAAACGTCATTACGAAGACGCTCACTCATCTGTCAGCAGTCAAATATCTGATTTCCTAAATAAAATGAAATTGTCAAGAAAAAATTGTATGGAATTAGTACAACAAGGAATTATAATAAGAGGAATGCAGCAAGATTACTTCTGTATACATTGCCAAAGTTCAATATCTTCTTTTCATAATTTTTCTCAACATTTAAAAGAAGAAAATCACTGCAAATATGTAAATTCTAAACCTATATTAAAACATTCTTCAAATGAGCAACAAAAGTCGAATGACAATACAAATAACAAACAAAGCAATGCTTTTGAAAAAGCAGCTTGTGTTAATGTTGATAATTCAGTGGAACATAAAAACGAATCAAATGCAATAATACAGTCAATCAGTGAGAATATGTTAATGAAAGATACTTCAAATAGTTCTATGCAGACAGCAAGTGAAACTATTACAAATGTGCCTTATGGATTAATGAAGGAAGAAAAAACGAATAAACATTTTTTAATGCAACATACAATATATACAATACAAACATACAATGGACGATGGTATTGTGATATGTGCGAGTTTACATTGCGAAGCTTAATAGCTATGACTTGTCACTTACAAGAATTTCATCTAGATAATGGTTCACAAATATCAGATTTTTTTGATAAATCTATCAAATTATCAGACAAAAATTGTACAGAATTATTAAATCATGAAATAGCAATGCAGGATGTAATGCATGATTATTTTTGCATACCTTGCAAATGTTCTTTCCCTTCTGTAAATCATTTTTATGAGCATTCAATTGGAAAGAAACATAAGGACATGAGCCAGTGTAACAAAAAACACGAAGAGGCTAATGTTGTGCTGGAAGAACCTGCAGCTAAACTAAATTTAAGTAATAATACAATTAACAATCAAATTATATCTGTTAATGTACAAAATGAAAGTGATTTAATTAGGAATCTTCCAAGTAGTTTTAAAGCAGAAGAGAAAGATACAATTTTATTAAAGTCTTATAATAAAGATAGTATTAGTGAGGATCTGCAAAGTGAAAGCTTATGTTTAAAAACATATATTCATATGAATTTTTGTTGTTTGTGCGATATGTTTATTGATGACAATGCTATAAACATTCATGTGATACATAACAGCCATAAGTTTGCAGTGTCTTTATTTAGAAAAATCCAAATCTCTTATCAGCAAACATTGTGCATTATAAAGTTAGAAGGGAAAAGAAAAACTCTGAGATCACTACAGTTAAATAATAAAAAATTCGATGGAACTATATGGCCAAAACATGCAGAAACAGCAAAGTATACTTGCGATCAATGCAATCAAATGATCGAGAAAGATGATATAATAAATCATGAGATAACAATACACAAAAGTGGCATGATGTTTTCTATGAAGTTTATCTATAATTGGTCACCTGAAAGTAGAAATCTTAACGCCACTATTTATTATCCACTGTTTAAATGCTCGTTCTGTAATGAGATAATACATGGCGTAATGTCATTACAAGCTCATTTTTTGAAATACGAGCACAAAGAAAATATTAAATCATTAATTGACATCAAGAAACGAGAATATGATAGTTGTGAAAATATACAAATTTATTTGGAGCCAATTGAATTTTTATGTTTGATCTCTTTTGAGAATAATGGCGGGACTATTCAAATTCAGGAGCAGCCTCTGATGTATATTAAAAACCATTATACAACGCTTCATAAAAATGCAAGAAAAATGCAGGAAACATTTATTTACGTTTGTTTTAACTGTAATTATACAACGAATAAAATCAACAGTGTAATTGATCATTTATTTAACGAGTTCGTACATTTGAAGCATTTTGAAAATATTCTTCTTACATATATGTCTATACAAAATGTGTCTACATCAAGAGAGTTTATCATAAATAAAAATGAACATGGAGTAAAATCTCCAATTTCTAAAGATGTATCAATTGATAATGAATTGACGGAACATAACATTGACAAAATACAAGTAAATACAGGACAATACGGCAATCGTAACTTAATAGCTGAAATGAATTCCAATAACACAAATAATGGAATGAGTCAAAATGAAGAAAATAATTTTGACTTTTTTATATCTCTCGATGTATTTACGGAAATTAATACATTAATAAAACAAGATTATGAATCACAGCAGTTGTCTACAAAGTTAAAGAGCACGATAAATCATCATAATAAAATGTATTTTAGAGATTTTCTCGACTTCGAAGAAATCATGTTTGTCTGCAACTATGAAAAACTAGAGAGAATTAAATCAAATTCGCAGTTTTTCTTTTTATTGTCTGACAAAATATTTTGCCTTATATGTGAAAATCTGCAATTATGCAATATACAGGCAATATACGAACATATAAATTCTGAAAAACACATTATAAAATTTAACATGTTACATGAGAATGAAGAACATGTGGAACTGTTAAAGCAGCTAGTGAAAATACAACCTGCATATACCAAATGTTTTGCTTGTGACATACATACATTTCAGAATAGAAAAACTAACACATATTTTAAGAATCATATATGTACGTCTTTGCACAAGAAAAATTATAACCAATTACGTTATCAGATTGAGTTAATATTGGAAGAATTCTCTCTCCAAAATTTATGGTATAATATCCAATACTTTGCTTGCGTTGATTGCAACAAAAAATTCAAAATGAAGATAAAATTCATGGAACATCTTAATAACAAACATAGGGAAGTGATAAGAAACAAGACTAATTCAAAGTTTGATTTTTGCTTAACGTGTGCAACTTTATGGTACAAAACAAGTGATATCAAAGACATCCATATAAATTATGAACAACACTGTCAGTTACAAATGCATTGGTATCTAAAGAAAAGTAATG